AGTCTGCTCCCCGTGGATAAGGACGTGGCAGGCAGAGCAATGCCCCAAAACTCCCTCTGCCTGTGGGTTCCCGGATCCCTGTTTCCCAGGATCGGTCCAGTGAATACTGGAATTATCTGATATGTGTCAGCAGTGCCTTGGTCCAAACCGGTCGAGGCTTGGCCATTTAAATTATTCCCATGGATTTCAGGGTCGGTTTGGGGTTTATTGGGGAAAAAAAATAATATATATATAAATAAAATCCCCAGTTTGGGCCCTGGATTTTCCCCCTCCCGGGGTTTGGATGCAGAGTTTGGGTGTTTTGAGGGATTTCAGGTTGGTTTGGAAGGGGGTTTTGTTTTCTTTCGTCTGGTCAAATCATATTTAAAAGTTAAAAAGTGAATGGACTTGACTGGAACTGGAACATGTAAATCCCATGGGATGGGCTGGTGTTTGCTGGGCAAGCTCTTCCTGTTACTGGAATTCACTGGGACCAGCGGGCTCCTCTTTTCCGGTAGAAACCCTCGAATTAGGGATCTCACTCCCCTTCCAGCGTGTCTGTGCCTCCATCCACGTGCTGTCCTGAAGGATATTGTGGCAAAACTGATTCCTGGGGGGGGAGAGGGGGGGAATCTAATGTTTTATTTAAACCCAGGTTGATTTAAGTTCCTTTTCTGGTTCATTTTCCTCCTTTTCCCACCCCTCGTTTTAATCCTTTGATTCCTGGAGATAAAACATCTCCAGGATGGGCTGGGGGGGTGAGGAAAAAAATTCCCCAGTGCCTTGTTTTTGCTTTCCTTGTGTTTGTCTTCCTTCCCTGCCAAGTATTTTTGGATGAGGCAACGCAAGGGATTGGATGGACTGAGGCAAAACTGTTGCATATTTGTAGATGCAGATTAAGCTTCGGGCTGGGAGTGCTGGGATGTTCCTTCCTGCCGGGAGCCCGTCAGGGAGAATCCCCTGAACCCTCCACCAGGGCCAGGAATTCCTCAATGTCCATTTTTTTTCCCCCCCTTCCTTTTCCAAGTGTGAAGTTTAAACTTCGCCTTCCTTGGAAGTTCCTTGAAACCACTCCTGGCGGGAGGTGGATCCGCTGGGAGAGCTGAGTCCAGCCCCAGGTGGATTGCGGATGGAGAGATTGGATGAGTCTCTGTCTTGAAGGGAAAAAACTTGATTCACCTTCAACACAAAAGTTTAATCCAAGACAAAGGTTTAATCCAAGACAAAAATTGTTGGCCTCTGGCCTGGGATCCTGGGGATGGCTCCTGTGGGGAAACGTGGATGGAGAGGCTGGGAGGACCAGCCTCTGTCAGGACTGAGCACCAGGGCATTTCCTTCTCCTCTTCCTCCTCATTTCCGTGATGTTTTCCCAAGATATTCCAATTGCTGATGGACCAGACCTGTGTCTGTCCCAGACATTGTCCCTCTGTCCCCTCACAGCTCGTTCAGCTCCTCCAGGATTAAGATTTTCCTCCTTATGGCATCCCAGGCATTCCCCTTCTCCTCTTCCTCCTCCTTTCCGTGATGTTTTCCCAAGATATTCCAGCTGCTGGTGGAGCAGAGCAGTCACTGCCCCTCTGTCCCCTCACAGCCCCTCTAGTTCCTCCGGGGCTGAGTCTTTTCCCCCTCGTGGTATCCCAGGAAAGGCTGGGACGGCTCCTTCCCGCCGGGAGGCTCCTTTTCCGCCCGTGCCCGTTCCCGGGTGACCCCGACCGCGGCCGCTCCATTTTCTCCGGATCAGGCACCTGATCCCGGAGCTGCCGGAGATGACAAAATGAAGGCCGGGCGGGCAGGGCCGGGGCGGTTGCCATGGTTTTGGCCAGGGCACGTCACAGCCGCGGCCCCCACGTGACCCCGCCGTGGCTGCCGCTCCCGCCGCCCTCCCTGGGTCCCCCCGCGGTGTCCCCGAGCTGGCACCCACGGCCACGCCAAACCCTCCCGGCTGGAGCCCGGCCCAGGCTCGAGGGTGGAGCCGGGGAAGGAAAGGGAAGTGTTTTCAGGAAAGGGCCGGTTGGTCCCCGGCGCCGCTCGGATCCCCCCCTGTCCGGGCGCTTCCCGGGGTTTTTAAGGGGCTTAACGTGGCCCTGCTTTCCGTGGGGGGTTTGAGGTGGAAGTTGGAGGGGGGAGCAGACAGTGCCTGGTTCCAGCTGGGGCTGGGTCCTGCTCCAGGTGGGATTCAGTCCTTCCTTCCCCAGGGAGGGCTCAGTCCTTGTCCCAGAGCGGCTCCATCTGTCATTGGAAAGGGCTCAGCTGCTTCTTCCTGGTGCATTCCCAGCACATTCCCAGCTCTCCAGCCAGTCAGGCCTTGTCCCAGCCCAGTTACATCCCAGCTAAGAACGGCCTGAGCCGGTTCGGATCCAGGAAAAAGCTGGGAATGCTTCACCTGAGCCACTGAAATTTGAAAACCCCTCGGAGTTTGGATGCCTGGAGTTCCCAGGCTCGCTGTGCCCTCTAGAGGACGTTCCCCTACTTATTCCTTAGTTCTTTTTTCCCCACTTTCCCACCCCTAGAAATTCCTGCTGTGGGCCCAGCACTGTCGTTCCCTGGGTGGCACAGAAAACCTGGATGTCCCCTTCCCACACCCCTCCTGCCAAACGGCCCCCCCCCATCCCTGTGCTCCAAACCTTGTTCTGGAATGCTATTCCTAGCTTGAAATCCCAAATCCTGGTGCCAGAGGTGATCCAACCAGTTCTCCCACGATAATTGCAGGGAATGGGGCCAGCAGGTGGTTTGTTGTCAGGAATTCAGGTGGAAGGTGGAGCCGTCGCTCAGACCTGGAGTGTTAAAGCCAAATAAAGGAGTTAAATCCCTGGGACACGGCCAGGATTTGATGGATTCTTGATGGATGTGTCCATCTGTGTTGAGGCTGTCACAGGATTCCTGCGTTCCAAGCGGGAAATAATTCAGCAGCGTCGGAGCAGAGGGAAAATAACACCCAAAAGCGCTTAAATTTGGGTAAAGGGGTTAAAGTGGGGGTGGTCGGTGTGGGATTTCCCCTTTCAGATTCGGGAGCTCGGGTGGGAAGATCACAGACCCTTGGATCAGGGTTTCCTGCAGCCCTTCCCTGTGTGTTTGTGCCCCCATCCACAGCGAGGTGAAGCGGGAGAAGAGGGTCCCCTCCCCGGACGTCATCGTGCTGTCCGACAACGAGCCCTCCAGCCCCCGCATGAACGGGCTGACCAAAATCGCCCTCAAGGAGACCAACACCGAGGCCCTGATGGTGAGTGCGGGGCTGGGAACGCCCCCAGGGGACACCGTGGCACGTGGGGTTTCCCGGGTGGAATTGCGAGCAGGGAAGTCTTGGAGCTGTTGGTTGAAGTCTGGTTGAACTTCTGGTTCGGGCTCAGCCTCTCGGTGTTTTTTTACCTGTTTTAAAAGCTCAAAAGGGACTTTTTTAACGTGGCCCAGCACAGGTTTCCATCCAGCACCTCATGGAAGCTTTTTCACTTCTTTTGCCACTGAAAGCGGTTTTTAAAATACTCAGATATTTAAAATATTGTGGTTTTTTTTCCCCTCTGAGTTCTCCCCCCATTGAGACACGGGTGACAGTGCTGGGATTTCCTGGTGTAACTTGGGTGCTTATCCAGCTTTTCCCTCTCCCCCCATCCCTGTTTTCCATCCCCTCCCTGCAGAAGAGCAGCCCCGAGGAGCGGGAGAGGATGATCAAGCAGCTCAAGGAGGAGCTTCGGTTGGAAGAGGCAAAGCTTGTCCTGTTGAAAAAGTTGCGGCAAAGTCAAATCCAGAAGGAGACCACGGCTCAAAAGGTGGGATTTTCCTGCTTCTCCCATCTCTGGAAATGGAGGGGAGGGGCTTAAATAACGGGGGCATTCCCTGTGGAACATGAAATAAACACTCCAGTCCTTCATCAGGGAATGGTTTGGGTGAGAAGGGACCTTAAAGCTCTTCCCAAGCCCTGTCCAGCCTGGCCTTGGACACTCCCAGGGATGGGGCTTGTAGAGATTGCTGGGATAACTCAGAGGAGATCCTTGGAAGTGACAGGGAATTCCAGAGTTTGAGACCCGGGCTGTGGGAGCTGGTGGCAGATCCCAGCTCTGGGTTCCAGGTCAGGGTTCCAGGTCTGGGTTCCAGGTCTGGGTTCCAGGTCTGGGTTCCAGGTCTGGGTTCCAGGTCTGGGTTCCAGCTCTTCCACCAGTGAGTCTGCACTGAGCTGCACATCCCCCAGAGCAATCCAGGCAGGATTTACTCAGCCTTCCCACCCTGATTCCCTTTTCCCGTCCTCCTCTTCCCACTCCTCATCCCACACACCCCGGGGGGCTTTGGGGTGGGGAGGGGGAGCTGTTTGCAGCACAAACCATCCCAGAAAGAAAGGCTGGGGGTTTCTTTTTTTGGGCAGAGCTTTTTTCCCTGGGCTGCTCCCTGCTGGAGGTGGAGGTGGCAGGAGAAGAGCAGAGGGATTTGGGATGTGAGGGGGTGGGAACCCCCCACGCTGCTCTGGAGCCTAAATTCCAAATACCTGTAACAATGGCAACGACCCCATTTCGTGTGGCAGCGAGGGCTGCTGGGATTTTGGGGGGATTTTGGGAGTGGGAGGGGGTGGGGAGGCAACTCCTGGTACTGCTTTGGGGGAGGGGGGTGGTGTTGGCGTCTTCTCCCGGAATTCCAAGTGCTCCAGGAGGTGGGATCAAAGCTAAGACCGAGGAGCTCTGGGTGTTCCAACTGAGCAGGGGGGAGCAGATCCCAAACTTCTCCACTTCCAGAGGCTTCTTCCCGAGCTCTTCCCCGCTTTGCCCGGTGCTGGAGCGCGGTGGGGGCAGGTGGGGGAAGGCTGAGGTGGGCCCTGGGCTGGCACAGCTGAGCCAGAGCTGCCCTGGCTGGATGATGAACTCGTGGATTTTCCTGCTCCGACCTCGTCCCTCCTTCCCTGCTTCCCTCCCAGCCTGCATGTGGAGACGCCCGGAGGGCTGGGGGAGGGGGAGCCTTGGAGGGTTCTCTTGCCGAGGCTCCAGGAGATGGAACTCTTTTCCCCCCCGCCCAATTCCCTGCTGTAATTCCTGCTTCCACCCTTATTCCTCTGCTTTCTCTCTGGTTTTTCCTCTTCCAGCCCGCTGGTTCCTCTGGGAGTGCTGTCACCCCTCCGCCCTTGGTGCGGGGACCACAGAGTGTTCCTGCTGGGAAACCCTCCCTCCAGGTCAGTGGGGCGGGAAGGCTCCCAGGAACGAGGGCCCCCCGGAGCACAGGGGGCAGGGAAAACATTCCCAGCCCCTTCATTCCCTGGAGCCAGGGGGGAGTTCCCTCTTGGAACTCCCACGGCCCCACTCGGAGCTTTGTGATGGGATGGGAGGTGGAAACAGTTCCCATGAGCTTCGTTTTTCCGGCTGATCATCCCAGTCCACCCTGCTGATAATTTTCCTGGGAGAAGGAATTCTGGCAGCCAGATGTTTTTGGGGCAGCCTCCAGAGGCTGAATTAGGGGGATGAGCTGGAAGAGCTGAGGGAATCCCAGGATTCTCTCTTGGCTTCGTGGCTGGATGGCACACAGGGGCTGGAAAGATCCTGGTTCAGGCTCAGTTAATTGTTGGGAATCCTTGGGAGAGGGGGAAAAAAGGAGGAGTCACTTGGCATCTGTCGACTTCATCGTCCTCTGGAACCCAGTGACTCGTTTTGCTTCTGGATTTCAAACATTCCTGGGTGTTTGGTTGGAACCAAATTCCCAAACTGCTTCAGCTCGGAGTGTTTTCCCCTGGGAAAAGGCAGTTCTTCACCTGGAGATCCCCTGGAATTCCAGACCCGAGGGAAGGGGGGGCTTTGCTCCCCATGGAGGAGACATTCCCGAACCAGAGCAGTGTGCCAGCTGGAGGAATCTCTTCCTTGAGGCTGTTTCCTTGGATTCAGGCAGCACTTCCAGAGGAACTGGACCAGGAGTTAAACCTTCAACCAGGGAAACTTGGACAGAACAGGGACCTGGGAGCTAAAAATCCCAAAATTGAGCTTGTTCTGCCTAATTTGTGGTGTTTGGGTGCCTTAACCCACACACACACTTTTGCTTGAGTGGGAAAAGGGCTCATTCCTGTGGGAAGGAGGCTGAGGGAACATTTGGGAGTCAGTTGGAAAGGGATAAAACTTCCCACCTACTCAGGGGAGTTGGAGATTCTCTGCTCTTTGTTTCCAGAGGATGCTCAGGTTGGGAAGGAGGGGAGCAGGAGGGAATTCTGAGCATTGCAAACCTTGGGCAGCACATTCCCAGAAACTCCTTTAGGCTGATTCCTTCTCTTTTCCATGATTTTTTTTTTCCTAAAGCTTTCCCATTTTCCTGCCTTTTTTTTTCCTTCCCAATCCACTCACTTCCTCCACCTTCTCCCCAAATCCAGCAGTCTGTATTCCCCATTTCCCCCTCTTCCCAACACTCTTTTTCCCATTGCTTGGGGGGGGGGTTGTTTTGTTTTTTGGGGTTGTTTTTTTTGGACACTCAGTGCACCAAATCCAGCCTGGCCACCTCCTGCCCTCCAGCTTTTCCATTGCCTCCACGCTCCACCCGTCCCCCCAGCCCAGGAGTGACTGTTCCCTCTTTTCCAGACCTCTTCCACGCGGATACCGGGCACTGTGATCCCTCCTCCCTTGGTCAGGGGAGGGCAACAGGCGTCTTCCAAGCTGGGAACTCAGCAGAACACGCAGATTGTGATGCCCCCCCTGGTCCGAGGGGCCCAGGTGAGTGTTGGCCTTGATCCTTCCCTTCCCAATCCACGGGAACTCTTTTTTTCCCCCCCCTTTCCAGCAGCTTCCCATCCCGTCTTTTCCTCCTCTCGTTCAGCTGCTCTGCAGTGATGGGATTAAGGATGGGAAATAAAACCCTCGTTGTGAGAAATAACTTCCCTAACCAATGGCTTTGAAATGAGACTCCACATTGGGGAAGGAGTTTGACTGGGAAACTTGGGAATTCTGGGCCATGAGGAGGTTGTGGAAGGAGTTTTGCTGGGAAATGCAGGGTTTTTTTGGCCATAAGGTGGTGGCCTCATGTCCAAGCATCTCCTGCCATGTTTTCCGGGATTAAGGGGGGAAAAAAAAACCACATTCTGAGGAACAACTTCCCTAACTAGCACCCTTACAGTGAAACAGGTGTAAAACTCCAGGTTGTGGAAGGAGTTTCACTTGGAAACTCGGGATTTTTTTGGCCTCGTGTCCGAGCTCCTCCTCGTCCTCCTCACGTCCCGTGTTTAATTTTGGGAGGGAAAGGGCAGAACCCCCCCGTGGTGACAGGGATGCCACTCCCAGGCTCCCTCCACCCTCCTCTCCTGGCCTCATTCCCGCTCTGCCGTGCCCCGCAGCAGATCCACACGATCCGGCAGCACTCCAGCACGGGGCCGCCCCCGCTGCTCCTGGCGCCGCGGGCGTCGGTGCCCAGCGTGCAGATCCAGGGCCAGAGGATCATCCAGCAGGGCCTGATCCGCGTGGCCAACGTCCCCAACACCAGCCTGCTCGTCAACATCCCGCAGGTGAGTCCCCCCCCTCCTGCTCTGGGGGTGAATTCCTGGGATGGTTTGGGTTGGAAGGGCCTTAAATCCCGTCCGGTGCCGCTCCCCGCCCTGGGCAGGGGCACCTCCTGCTGCCCCGGGTTGCTCCAGCCTGGCCTTGGACACTTCTCCACAGCTTCTCTGGGAAACCTATCCCAGCCCCTTCCCTGCCCTCCCAGGGAGGAATTCCTTCCCAGTATCCCATTTATCCCTGCCCTCTGGTGCTGGGAAACCATTCCCTTTTGGCCCTGGAAAGGGCTCTCAGGTCTCCCAGGAGCCTTCCCTTCTCCAACTCTCCCTGTCTCCAACCCTGGGATCACCCCACTGGCTCATTCCAAATGGGAAGAGCTGCTCCAGCACCGAAACACAGGATTAAATTGACCTAAAGTAGAGGAAAAAAAAAACCAAAAAACCTTTCTCCTGAGGAACACTGAATGTTACCTGGGAAGCTTCGAGGTGCTCCAGCCCTTGGAGCATCTCCCTCACCCTAGCAATGAAAACACCCGTTCCAGAAGGTGGGGAAGAGAAACACAAAGCCAGAAAAGTGACTTTTGGGCCCTTGTTTGTATTTGGTGCTTTGGTGTGAGGTTGTCCTTTAGAACCCCCACGGATGGTGGTCGCAGCTCCACCGTTCCAGTGACCCCATTACCGGCACCCACCTCCAGAAAAACCCTTCCAAGGCCAGGTTTTGCCCCGGTCCCGCTCCCATCACCCCCCCCAACCCCTCTTCCCAGCGTGGAAACCCCTGCCTGGGGGCTGAGCCGTGCCCCTTTTCCTCCCCCCCAGGCGTCCCCCACGTCCATCAAGGGCTCTGCGGTGAGCTCGGCGCAGGCCAACCCCGCCGGCCCCGGCGCGGCCCTGGGCGGCTCCGGCGAGTCCCCGGCCAGCAGGCAGGCGGCCGCCAAGCTGGCCCTGAGGAAGCAGCTGGAGAAGACGCTGCTGGAGATCCCTCCCCCCAAACCCCCCGCCCCGGAGATGAACTTCCTGCCCAGCGCCGCCAACAACGAGTTCATCTACCTGGTGGGCTTGGAGGAGGTGGTGCAGAACTTGCTGGAAACCCAAGGTGAGGGAGCGGCCAGTTCCTCGTGGGGTGGGGGGGGGGGTCGGGAGAGGAGTGTTCCCACCCGGATTTGGGCTTGGAGTCGGGCAGGGATGAGCTCCAGGGGCTGCAGGATTGAGTTGTCACGTTCCGGGCGAATGTGTGGGGCGCTTCCTTTGGTGAGTGACCATCCACATCTCCGGCTGGGGTTCAGGATTACGTCCCCGAGGGCTCGGAGGGTTGATTTCCCAGTTTTCAGCGAGCTGTGCTTGTGTTGGAGGGTTGGTTTTCCGGATTTTGGTGACTGCTGGTTATTCCCTGTGGGCTGGAGAGTCCATATCTCGTTTATTCAGTGCCAGCCCTGCCGTGTCCCCGAGGGATGTGGGGTCGATTCCCAGTTTTCAATGCCAGCCCTGCCGTGTGTTGGGGTGTCAGTCCCGTGTCTCGGTGTTTCCAGGGGATTATGGGGTTGATTCCCGTGTTTCAGTGCCACCCCACTGTGTCCCCAAGGGGTGCAGGGTTGACTGCCATCCCCGCTGTGTCCCCAGGCAAGGTGCTGGTGGCCGCGGCGTCGCGCGAGCCCTTCGTGTGCGCGCAGTGCCAGACGGACTTCACGTGCCGCTGGCGGGAGGAGAAGAACGGCACCATCATGTGCGAGACCTGCATGACCTCCAACCAGAAGAAGGCCCTGAAGGCCGAGCACACGAACCGCCTCAAGGCCGCCTTCGTCAAGGCCCTGCAGCAGGAGCAGGAGATCGAGCAGCGCATCCTGCAGCAAACAGCCCCCCCGGGGCAGCCCAAGGCCGAGCCCCTCGTGCAGCACCACTCGCTCAAGCAGGTTTGGAGCCCGCCCTGGGGGGCACAGGAGCCTTTTGGGGGGGCCCTGGTGGAGGAGGGGGGGAAAAGGGGTCCTGCAAAATCCGTCCCGGGTTGGTTTTAGAGGGAACTGATCGTGGGGACCCTGTGGTGGATTGGGTGGGAAAGGGCCTCATCCTGGGGGGAGGTGGTCAGGAGGGGAATGGGAGCCTTGGGATTGTCCAGGGGAGATGCAAATAACACTGTCACAACCTGTATGTATTTACTGCTATTCATATATTATATATTCCTGTGGGGTTTAAAAATGTAGTTTATAACGGGTATGTGAAGTATATGAAAGTATAAAAATATGTGCATGCACATAAAATACTTATAAATTTATACTATTATTTTCTATTACCTGATATTTTATATGTTTATTATTATTGTATATATTGTGCATTATACCCTTATAGGTTATATATATATACGTTATATATGTTATTCTATAGTTAATACATATTATATAATTAATATCATATATAATATGTGTTTATTATATTTGTTTATTATATACTACAATTATTACATCATATACTATTAATAGATAATAGCATGTTGGTAATATAATTATATTAATATATTAATAATTAATATTAATATAATATATTGATAATCTATTAATCATATATTATAGTATTAATATTTATTATATTATTAGTAATAATTTATTGGTAATTAACATGGTAAGAATGTGTTTATTATATAATAGTTATATGAAAAAATGACCCTCAACAAAACATAAATCCTGCCACAAATCCCAGAGTCCCGGGATGGTTTGGGTTGGAAGGGCCTTGGGGATAATCCGGATAACCCAGAACTGGGGAGCTGAATTCCAGAGCCGGGGCCAAAAAGGCTTCCAGGCCTGACCCCCCCCTTGTTGTCCCCTGTGTTGCAGAGTTCCAGCCAGATGTCCCGAGGGGCGGGAGCCTCACGGGGGGTCCTGCACAGCTTCAGCCCGTCCCCCAAACTGCAGAGCCCCTCGGCCTCCCTGGGCAGCCGGCCCGGCAAACACGTGGAGCGCTCGGGCGGCAAGGGCAGCGCGGCCGCCTGGAAGAAAACCCCCCTGAGCACGGGTAAGGGCTGCCCTGCTGCCTCCCCTGCTCCTGTTCATCCCTGTTCACCCCCAAACCTTCCCAGGGATGGGGAAGGGCTGCCCTGCTGCCTCCCCTGCTCCTGCTCACCCCTGTTCACCCCCAAACCTTCCCAGGGATGGATGGGGAAGGGCTCCCCTGCTGCCTCCCCTGCTCCTGATCCCCACCCAGCCTTCCCAGGGATTTGGGGGGAGGGTGTTTTCCCTGGGGGATCCCTGCAGATGCTGAGCGTTCGCTCCTTGGGGGGGGTCTGTCCTCTTCAAGTGGTGCCACCCAGGGGATGAAACCAAACAAATCCTCCTGTTTTCTTCATTTATTGCTCAGCTGAAGGGATGTGAAAGTCCAGCCTTTGATCCCTGAGTCCCTGTCTACATCCAGCGCTCCAGGGGTTCTGTCCTCTGTTTCTGGGGGTTTAATTAAATGCTTTAATTTTCACCGGTGTTTCGTCTTTGCTGGTAGCACCCAGTAAATAAGTGGGTTTGTTCCAGCTCAGGCTCCAGCACATCCCCACTGGAATATTTCAGATTCCCCTAGGAATATTTCCAGCATCCTCAGGATCTGGAATCGCCCTCTAAAGCTGTTCTTGGAACAGGTGGGAATCATAAATTCTAACCTGGCCACAGCTGTCGGACCCTCACACTCCGTGCCCAGTGCCCCATTCCCGGGGGGATTCGCTGGGGGGGTTGTGCCTCGTGTCCGTGTCATTCCATGACTCCTTTTCTCCCTTCTCCTCCCGCCATCCCCAGGTGGGGCTTTGCCCTTCGTCAGTCCCAGCTTAGCCGTGCACAAATCGGCCTCGGCCGTGGACCGGCAGCGCGAGTATCTGCTGGATATGATCCCGCCCCGCTCCATCCCACAGTCGGCCACGTGGAAATAATGCCCGGCAAGACTTTGTCCTGTTTCTGCCATCCTTTTTATACCACAGTTCCGTGGAATCTGCTTTAATCCCAGCTGGATACGCCCCAGGCTTTCTAGGATGCAAGAAGACCACTCCTCATCCCACCGAGTGCCGCCGTCCCTGCCGAGAGAAGCGACCCCCCCGCGGGTCCCGGGTTCCGATGGAGGCTGGCAGGGAGGGGAAGGATTCCTTCATATGTTTTTTTTTTTTGGCTTTCTGTATTTAGTTTGGATTTTTTTCCGTCACCAGCACAAAGGACTCAGTGACTTCTCTGCCTTTGGGTTCGTTCCCGGCGACAAACCCGGCGCCAGGTCGCGCTCCAGCGTGGAATTGGGGGCCAGGAGAGAGGAATCCCAGCCCCATCCTGCATTTAGTGAGCCGAGTTCGTGGCTGCTCCTCTCCTCCCTGCCCCTCCTCCAGCCAGGAAGGGAGTCTACACATCCTGATATTCCCAAAATCCCCCCCTGGTGATGACAAGCTAACGATAAATAAGTGCAGACTCCGATTCCAGTTGAGTACGGTCCTTTTCCCGAGGGATTGGCTGCCACCAAAACTTGGTCTGGTAGGTGGGAACCACGCAGGAGTCTCTCACTTTTGTTGGATTCTGTTTGGAATAGACTTTTGGAACCGTTGGTAGTTTAAAAACCTAATTTACTGACTAGACAAAACCTTTGTTGGGTCTTTCTAATTCAGCGAAGAGCAGTTGGGCCTTTCCTACGTCCCCGGAGACTCCGAAGTGAAACCGTTTGGGATAATTTTCCTTTTGGAGGGGTTTTGGGTTTTTTTTGTTGTTGTTGTTGGTTTTTTTGTTTTTTTGGTTTTTTTTGGGTTTTTTGTTTTGTTTCTCTTGTTGTTTGGAGGAGTATTACTCAAAAGAATAGGAATCCCAGGAGCTGCATGCAATCAGGGAGAGCGGGAGGCGCCGGCAGATCCTCCCTCTGGTGATTCCCACCGGGAATTCCGGCCCTTCCCAGCGCGTTTTGGGTGGGGGGTGCTCTGTGATTTCCCCTTCCGAGTTCTTCCAGGCATCCCAAGCATGCTCCTCTATCCATCACCCATCCCGCTTTGGGTGGAGCTTCAGGGCCGTTTTTTTTGGTCGATCCCAAAAACCCGTCAGGTCCGGTTTTTCGGTTGGTTTTCGTTCCTCATCCTCCTCCTCTGTGCTTCTCCCGGGTTTTCCAGTTGAATTGAAGTGGCAGAATTCCATGCCTTACGACTTGTTGTTGCATATCAGTGCTGGAAAGAAGTGCTGATAAGAATTATTTGGGAAATTCTATATATATATAATCTATATATCTATATATAAAAAAAAAAAAAAAAAAGGGGGGGAGGGGGTTCCGTCGGAGCCGAGTTTATTTTCGTAGCAGTCGCCGGGAGATCGAAAACTTGAAGCCAAGAATTCCTTAGGGTCGTCCCCCTCGGATCTGCCCATGGCGTAGTGACAGAATTCCAGCCTTTCCCCCCTCCCCTCTGTTTTTCCCTGCCGGGTGAAGATCAAGATTTAGGGATTTTTTTCCCTAACCTCTTTTGAGCAGCCTTGAAAACCCCCCCTCGTTTTCCAAACTGGGATTTGTCGCTGGATAAAGCCCCGGAATTCCAATTTTCCAGAGGGGATCTGAAGAACTAAAGGGGATGGACGGGGAATTGGGGTGAAATCAGAAGGTTTCTGGTTGTTCCAGGCTGGTTTGGGTTGGGAATGTGGAGGGAGAACTGGAGTGCATTTGCCTTTTCCACTTGATATTCCGGGAAAGTTTCAGTTCCTTCCCTGCTTGGAATTTTTTTGGTTGTTTTTTGGGGGATTTTCTTTTTTTCCCCCCCCTTCTCCTCTGACGAATTCCTGCGTTTTCTCCTCGTGTTTTGATCACTGTTGAATCCCCTGGTAAAGTTTGTTTGGTTAAAAAAAAAACAAGGAAAACTCCTCAAAATCCAAAAGCTTTTTTTTTGGAAGGGGGAAAACCTGGGCAACTTCCCAATTGATTTCCAGTGGTGGGGGACAACTTCTGGGGTGAAAAAAAAAAAAAAACAAAAAAACAAACAGGGAGTGAAAGAGGGGGCAAAAGGGTGAAAATATAAAAAATATCAAATTAAATGTTGCAAAAGCGGTGTCAAAACCGGTTCGGGTCCCACCAGCTCGGGTGCTCGGAAATGGGAATTTCAGCCCAATCCGGAGGAATTAAAAGAAGCCTTAAAAGAATCAGGAATATTTCGGTTTTAAGGTTTGGAAACCGAAAAGCAAAACCAGGTTTGTATGTCCGGGCTTAAGAGCGTTGGATCCCGAATTTCTTTTGCGTCTAATTTAATATATAAAACCCCCAAAACACTGTTTGAGGGGTTGGGGAAGGTTTTGATTTTGAAGGGGAAGGGGAAAAAGCCCCGGAATGCAGCGGGGAACGAGGCCGTCGGGATTCCAGGCGGTCCCGGTGACTCGAGGGGTTCGTTCCGTGGTATCCCAGTTTCTGGCCAGCTTCTGGATCAGTCTGGGAAGGGCTGGAGTGGATCCATCCATGTGTGAATCCCCTCTGGGGGCCAGAGCTCCGTGTGGACTCGGGTGTCGTGGGCCTGGGCTCAGCCAGGCTGGAATAGTTGTTCAAACACTTCAATACAGGTTTTTTTTTTCCCAAACCTCCTCCTCATCCTCCTGTTCTCCTTTTCTGCCGGAAGAAACCCCACAAAACGTGGGGGAAAAACGCCAAAAAAAATCCCAGTGAACGGGATATTCCATCAGGGGTCTGCCCTGGAGGGGAAATCCTTGGGAACTGTGGAGGAAAAGGGGGGTGGTTAGACACAAACTTAGGGACAAATCTTGGGTTTATTCCTACTGCTGTTGTTGCCTTTGGGATCCCTGGGTTCCCTGAGAGCTTTGGGATCCCTGAATCCCTGAGGGCTTTGGGATCCCTGAATTCCCTGAGGGCTTTGGGATCCCTGAATTTCCTGAGGGCTTTGGGATTCTTTAATCCCCTGAGGGCTCCTGGATGTGCCAGGAATCACCTCCTGGAGTGGCACGCCTGGAACACCCTCTGGGGGGAATATCCAGCCTCATATCCCATTTTCCTGCCCCTCCAACTGCTTCGCTGCATGAGCTGCTCCGGGGGGGCTCCGGCTCCCGCCTCTCCTGGGGAGAGGGATCGAGGGATTCCCGCAAAGCCATAAAGAAAAAACAAAACAAAACAAAACAAAACAAAGCCTCTCTCGGCGACGTCGCGACGACGGGAATTTTCTAAAGCCAGTGACTGAATAATGGGAAACGACTGTTGTACTTTAGATTTTAGCATCTTGTGAAATAAAACCCCGGATTTTCATTGGAAACCCGTGTTGGAATTTTGGGAGCCGTGTGGTTTTTCTTGGATTTCATTCCATTTTATATATATATATATATATATATATATATATATATATATATA